ACTGGAAGCTGGGAAAATATTATAACCCACCTACCCCTTAATAGCTACTAAAAGTACATTCCACAGAAATAATTTTCCTGGAGCAGTTCTCATTACTGATACAATTGCCAGGAACTGCTGAAATGGCTTTGAATTCCTTGAACGCTCTCTGTGAGCCAAGGATAGGAAATCACTTTGAACCTGTTGCTGTGCTGTACAGGAGTCAGCTGTCTTATTTTTAATGCCCGTCAGATGGATTTTTGATGTTTCTCAGAGCCAGGAGTTGTTCTGTAGAATTCTTTCTACCCAATCAAAAAAACAACCAAAGCAGAGACCGAGAAACATTTAAATTCTTAAGTGGCTTAGTGATGATTTGGAAATGGATAGTAAACTGATGATGGCAAAGAGAAAGCTTCTGATATGTCATGGCTTTGATTAAAACAAAGGCAAAATTGAAAACTTTTCTATCCTTATAAGTATGCTATAAAAATAAATGCCCATTGGATGGGATGTACTGTAGCTTTACACTAAAAGATGGCAGTTTTCATCAACAGCAAAGGATGAAAGAATATCTCCCAAACATCAAAATAACACATAGGGAAGTAAAGGGGTGCTCTGGGTCAGGGATCTCCAACCTTGGTAACTTTAAGACTGGAGGACTTCAACTCCCAGAATACTGGGAGTTGAAGTCCACCAGGCTTAAAGTTACCAAGATTGGAGATCCCTGCACAAGTGAGAGACCCCCCATGCTTTTATTTCAGTACATGCACGAACCCTCCTCTCACAGCAGCCAAACACACACAAGACATGGAATCATATGCACAAGTCACACTGATAGATCATCACACAATTAACTTGGAGCCTACGTTCATTCCACATGGGAAAAGTTGTTTGAAACTCCTCTTCTCCTTTGAAAGTTAGCATGATGCAAAAAATCAGCCCCAGAGAACATGATAATTGCTGCATATATTTTCAAGGCAACTACAAAGTTAAGAGGTACTTTTCTTAAAGCCATTATAATAATTCATGTTAAAAGTAGCATTTGTCTTATAATAGCAACAGCAGATTCCTTAAACTATTCCCAGTCTGTTCAATTATAACAACCAGGCAATTTTCTTAAACAACTTTTTTAGTCACCTTCCTTCCATATTATTAAGAATCTCTAAAACAGAGTTCTTGATTTATGTGTCTGTCCTCCTTAAAAACGGTAAAGATCCCCCTCAAGTCAAAATTGACTTTTGGTGATATAAGTTTTCTTGGTATTGCCGTTTGACATTGCCTTCTTCTGGATTTTTTTCAACATCCTAATTTCACCTAAGGATTTCCAGGCAGTTGTTATATAAATTCTAACCCAGGTTAGCTTCTGAGGTCAGCCTAAATTGGCTATGGCTAGGACTTCCTGAGGCCTGTCCTCTCTTCCATTATCTCAGTATTTGTCCTCTATCTCCGTTGACCCTTGTACTATCTGTTCGCCAAATATAGATATTAGAAAGAGTCATGATTTAAATTCCTTTTACGTCAGTACCTCTCAAGTTTTAGACTGGCACATTACAGAGATATAAATACCTCATCCACTGATGATTAAGAAAGCTTCCTTGGTTGCATTCATAGAATGCATCTACTCATTCTAAATAGCTAACAACCACATCAGCGACATAAAACGGAAGGGAAGGTCATGTTCCACCTGAGCTTCAGATAAGATCTAAACCTTCCAAAGAGTATGCAACTGAAGCACTGCCTAGATTGTCCCTATTTAGTAGTGGATGAAAGTTCTCCTGTACTCTTTGAAAAATCATGTCCCATGAAGGAATGTGAGACTTTGCCTATTTTTTAGAGGGCTGGTAAGCTAAGTGGAGAAAGATCTAAAACACTTCCACTTTGAATAAACTGCCAAATTGCCATCATTCCTAAGCCAATGGGGAAACTCAAAGAGGTTTACAGTTAAGGGTGGAAAAGAAACTGGGGACTGATTTAATCTGTCTTTCTTGAATACATAATTACCTTTTGATATCATGCCTTAAAATATGGTATTAGGGAAGGGTATACAAACACTAAGGACATTAATTAAAGCAACATACAAAAATACATATTAAAGTAACTTACAATAGTATATTGCAGTTCTATAGGTAGAACTGCATACAGTGACATGTATATTGGAAATAACCTAAAAAATATAAGGATTTGTCTCCCAATAAACTGCCAAATAGTGTGTAAATGTAACATAATTTAATTTAAAAATAGGGCGGGGGGGAGGGAGAAGCATGAATCCAATGGATGTGTCTGTGTATATAGAGGGACAAATCAAAAGGATAATTATAGAGTACAGGTAATCTTTGACTTACAACCATTTGTTTAGCGACCATTCAAAATTACAACGGTGCCGTATGAAGGGTCTTACAACCTTTACCTTAAGTTAGAGCTGTTGCACTGCTCCTCTGGTTACATAAATAACGTTCAGGTGCTTGGTGTGGGACCAGTGAAGCAGGTACCTCAGGGGGTGGAGACCCAGGCAGCTCTTGTGTAAGCTAGGGAAGTGTTGCAGTACAGCCTGCACCAGGCCTCCCAACTCCAAGCACCCTGTGCTCTGCTTAATGACTGCAATGGGGAGAGCCAAGATGGTGATCATTAAATGAGGCAATAACCTGGGCACCTTGCTTAATGATCACCATGACTTACAACCATAATTCTGGGTTTAATTGTTGTCATAAGTCAAGGACTACCTATAGTGAAATTTACATAGGAATCTAATGAGAGTGACATAATGTCCAAGCAATTTAAATAATAAGAGTTCTAGAGTGCACAGATCTAGACTTCTACTTGAAAAAATATTAGGATCGCCTATAGTCACGAATAAATGTTTATCTTCCTGACTCATTATCTATCCACTGCAACAGAATAAACACATCAGGGCAGAGTGGAAGGTGAACATTTGAAAGATGATATGGGGATGGCATTCCGTCAGGATGTAACTGATCTCCAGTAAACAAGAATATAAACAATTTGGAAAAACAAGAGTCTAGTTCTCATGGGAAAAAAATTATGTTTGGATTTTTGAAATTGGGAGGAGCTGTAACATGAATAGAGGTACAACTTTTTCCTAAACATAAAATGAACAAGTGTTTTTCAGCCGTAGCAACTTAAGAGTTTGGCTCCCTAGAATGCTGGCTAGGGAAATCTGGGAACTGTAGTCCATCCCCCTTAAAGTTGCCAAGGTTGAGAAACACAGCCCTTACTTTTCTCCCCTACATGATTACATCTGGTTTGATAACCCAATATTAAAGAGCCAACATTCAAAGCATAATAGCTATTACCGGATAATCATTTTAGACAGATCAGTGGTTTTTCCACACTATATGGGTTCTCTTTGTTCAGTGGGGCCCAGCTCAGAGATGGGCCATTTTCTTTCCATTTTAACTTTGAGCCCAAGACAGGAGATACAGGTGACATAACCAGTAACTTCAGAAGATTACCAGAGTAAGCAGGGCCTAGTTCTGGGGTTATGAGGAACTGAAGTGAGTTTTAAGGAGTGAAAGGTGTGTTATCACCTTTGCAGAATTATGATCTCAACTAGGGGAAACCCTAAACATTCAGAATTTGAAGATTTTTTTTAAAAAATTATTTTTATTGATTTTAGAACAACACAACATACAAAACACAAATACGTTTCTTTTTACATATCAGTTTCGTTCTCTTTCTACTATATACATTCCCCATTTTTCCTATCCTTTATTATCATTATCTTTATCATCCCTTTATTTTTAATTTTCTTCATTTACAATATTTTACACATTTGTCATCTTCTTCTCTCCATCGTTTATTCACATTTACTTTCCCTAATCTCGAGCCAATCATACCACTTATTCCATACTTGATAATATTCAAGGGAGGGGAGGGTTAGGGAGGGTTAGGGAGGATGAGGTTGGGAGATTTGGGTGGGTTGAGGGGGGGGGGAAATGGGGTGAAAATGTAATTGTAAAACTTTTGCAATATTCTGTATCTTCCTTTTCTTTTATTTCTTTCGTTAATTTATCCATCTCCGCACAGTCCAGGATTTTCTTAATTATTTCTTCCTCTGTTGGAATCTTTTTACTTTTCCAGGACTGTGCATAAACTATCCTTGCCGTTGTAATTATATGCAGAATCAAATATCTAATTTCTTTACTGTAAGCAGAACTTTAAGATTTTTAAAGTGCGATGTGAATGTCTTGGTGCCTACCAGGCCACACATAGCAATTCTGCCCCTTAAAACATAGTACCATTCTACCCCAAACATCAATCCTCAAATGTAGGCTTTGTCCACTCCTCTACTAAAAGGGTATTGAAGGCTGAATGTAATCCACGGGTTTTTGCTAGAAGGAGTTAACAGGAAAAAAAATTCTAAACAAATAAAAACAAACAAAATCATTTCATAAGCCAGGACATTCCTATATCTGCTAATCTGGTTAAAGCATACCGAACTGAACGGGATCCATTCTTGGACAATATTACAACTAAGGCAATGCTGACACACCCGTGCTGGGAGTTCTTATTGAATTTTGCACCAAAAGACATACACTTTGAAGGTAATTTAAAAACTGACATCTGGGACAGAACTGCTTTATTGAGAAACCATCACATTAGAAAACAACTGTTCATGTCTTGTCCAGACAACAACCCCTTTATTCTAGCTATTGAGTTTCTGTTTATTTTTCCCAGGATGCTCATGAGAATAATTATTGAAAACATGAATGCACTATGTACATCAAAGAGAATTGTCGGAAAAGAAGCCAAGGGGAGGAACAACTAATAACATTATTTGCTTCTTTAAATGTACAGCTGTGTTGATTCCACACTTGTCGCCTGAAGTCACAGTTGTTGGTCCTGACTCCTGAGTAATTATATTATAGCAGCTTCCACCAGAATTGCTCACTGATAGGTTGAATGCACAACACCCACCACTGTACTCTGTAAAAATTGATGCTGGGAAGGCGCAAAGCGGGTTAAACAAACAGGTTGAAAATGTCAAGGAAATGAAAACTTACCATCCTCAATTACGATTTTGATAAGACGGATTGAACCATTCCGAGCCTTTGCAAAAAAGTCCTTTAATTCCGTAGTGGCTAAAAGAATCAGAAACATGCTGATCAGAATTTGAACCTCAAAGTTATTCCACTCTCTGACACAATAAAGGAAATGGCAAAGAAAAAAAAGGGGGGGGGGACTGAGAGAAATCCGAAGGTAAAAGACTAGTACAATGAAAAAAAGGAGCAGATTTCCTTAGTTCTGATCGAGGCTGTCTGGGGAAGTATGCATTTCACTTTCACAGAGGTTCCAGAGTTAAATACCAGCTGGAAGCACATGTGATCCAGAGAACTTGATACTTGGCTGGGGCAAACATAATATCCCAAATTTAGCAGTCTGTTGGCTTCCAAAAGCAAGGTGGGCTCAAGTGACAAGTTTATTAAATGTACAGCATATCCCGCTGTGCAGACCAGGCAGGCTGAGAGGAAAATGGGATGACGATGGGCAGGAAAAACCCTTCTGATTTTAACTCCTGTGACAGATATGTTTTGCCTTTGACTTCCTTCCACCCCAATTTGGGCAGGTTGCTAAGGAAAAACATTTACATAGGAATCAGAAGTGGAGCTGCTCTGGTATTTTGTCCCCTGCCTTTCTGATATTCGGATTCTTCAAGGATAGGTTTTTTTTTTTTAATAAAATAAATTTTTATTAAACATTTTCAACATTAAAAAAACAAAACACAAATTTTCACTCATTATAGCATTTCCATATCATTATCAATATCATCCGTAACATTCATACTTACATAGGTTCTATTTTTATGGTTCACTATCCTATATTATACAATCGTTTGCATTATAATATTTACACACAAATACGATATAATCATAATGTCATCAATATTACATCATTCTTATACAATAATTTTACTCCTATTCTCTAGCCACGTATACCATCTACTCCAAACTTGATAATACTCTGATTCTTCTTTCTCTTTCAATTCCATAGTCAACATATCCATTTCTGCACACTCAAGTACCTCAAGGATAGTTTTTATGACCGTGAAAATATGGTAGCTGGTAAGGTTTCCATTGCTACCAAATTTAAACAACAAGAAAGCATCCATTCCCACAAAACCAATAACTAGCGGTGCAGTTACCGAAGACAGCGGATAGCATTTCTGTTCATACAAAAAATAAACACATGGATTCGATCACTTTGGCTGTGGATGATGTAATTCCTTCAAATGTTCTGAATACATTTCACCAAAGATTAGCATGTCCAGATGAGACAGAACTTGACACGCATTAATCTCATTTCATTGAGAGCACAAATGCCATAATAGGAAAAGTACAATGTCACCAATATCATTGGTTTCACTGTGTAATTAAAATAACTACAGTAAAGAAATTATTTTCACCTTTCCACTACTTTCAGTATAATCCTTCTTCCCAAAATACTACAACACTACTGTGCAGAAAATCATTATTTAAAACATCTGTTCTATAGCCATACACTGGAATAAGGATCTCAAACTATATGGGTAGTCCTCAACTTACAACCAGAATTGAGCCCAAAATTAATGTTGCTAAGTGAAATATTTGTTAAGTGAGTTTTGCCCATTTTACAACTTTTCTTGCCACAGTTGTTAAGTAAATCATTACAGTTAAGTTAATGATGTGGCTTATTTATTTATTTATTAGTCATATTTCTATGCCGCCCACTCTCTGAGGACTCTGGACGGCTTACACCAAAGACACTATACTGAATAGCATATTGCCCCCTAACAATCTGGGTCCTCATTTTACCCACCTCGGAAGGATGGAAGGCTGAGTCAACCTTGAGCTGGTGAGATTTGATCCACTGATCTGCTGAACTAGCAGTCAGCTGAAGTAGCTGCAGTACTACACTCTAACCACTGCGCCACCTCAGCTCCCCATTGAATTTGCTTATCAGAAGGTTGCAAAAGGGGATCACATGAGCCTGGGACACTGCAACTGTCATAAATATGAACCATTTGTCAAGCATCTGAATTTGGATCACATGACCATGGGGATGCTGCAATGGTCGTAAGTATGAAAAACGGTCCTAAGTCACTTTTTTCACTGCTGTTGTAACTTTGAACGATCATTAAATGAACTGTTGTAAATCAAGGATTACCTGTAATTGGAGGGATTAAATAACAAACTTCCCATGGATACATTTCAGAGATGTATAAAATTGGCGACCATTTGTAAGAAAGTCATGGTTAATGTACAAAATTTAACAATAGTTATCTGAATCTTTAAGTTTTCCAAAATGAATCTCATCAATATTGACTGCTACAATCTGGCATGTTTAATCAGTTTTAATAACTGAGACCCCTTGCAGGAAAGACCTAAGGCCCACATTGCCATTTGCAAAATGGAAAATAAATGCCCCAGTAAATGCCCAGTTGCTCTACTTTAGAAAAGGAAGCAATAACAGTGTCGCCTGTTAGCGAACAGCTGCTCTGAAGGGTTGCTGGGGCAATCACTAAGCACATCTCAGGATCTATCAACACCAAAGCAGTATCTGTTCCACTGCATTCCCTCCCATTGACATCCAAGAGGACATCAAATGCATGTGCTACGGCACAGATGTGCTACAAGGAAAATTATTTCATATCAAGACTCATCTTTACGATGCTTCCGTATAACCAGGAAACTGCAAACACAGCCACCCAAAAATGTCATCATGCTTCAGTCTGGCTTTCAGCAGGCATACAAACACACATTTATATGGGTTAAAACATGAGGAGAAGTGACCTCAGAACCATCACATTCACCTAGCTTCATGAAGCCCGAAAGTACAGGTAGTCCTCAACGTATGACCACAACCGACCCCCAAAATTTATTCTCATTGTGAAATGAGAAATTTGTTGAGTTTTGCCCCATTTCACAACTTTTCTTGCCACAGCTGTTAAGTGAATCACTGAAATTGTTAAATTAATAACATGGTTGTTGAGTAACTCTGGCTTCCCCCATTGACTTTGCTCGTCAGAAGGTCGCAAAAGGACTCTGGGACTCTGCAGCCGTCATTAAATATGAATCCCTTGCCAAGCATCCAAATGCAAATCATGTGACCACGGGGATGCTGCAACGGTCCTAAGTGTGAAAAATGGTCACAAGTCACTTTTTTCAGTGCCGTTGTAACTTCTCACGGTCACTAAACGAATTGTTGTAAGTCGAGGACTAGCTGTACTTCATGTATTTGCTCTTTGAATGTACCGGCAGCTTTTCAAGTCCCAATCCATCAGCGCTGAGGTATGCTACTTAATAAATAAATCGATACATTTGTATTGTTAATGAAAGCCAATATTCCCAAGATGCCAATCTCTGGATCGGTGCATTTCTGTATAAATCCTAGAGGAAGATGCAGCTCTCCGAAGAAGGCTCTAATGTTGGGAAAGGTAGAAGGAAAGAGGACGATCAGCAGCAAGGTAGGTGAACTAAGTTTCAGTGGTGATGAATGCACTGTTGGAAGACCTGAAAGTCCAGGTTAGGGACAGACTGTCATGGAGAAAATCTATCCATGTGGTTGCTAGGAATAAAAATATGACTTGATGGCACAAAATCAATCAAAGGAAAATTCAAGGCAAAAGAGAATTCAAAAGACAGCTGTTAAAAAGAAATGGATTGTTGATCTTGAGGCCAATTGCAGGTTTAGTAGAACAGTTACTCCCCACTTCAAGCCCTCATTTGCGCTCCTTCCCCCTATGCCCTCTGCTCTTGCATGGAGATCAAGGGTGATGAAGAGAGTTAGAACAAGTAATCCTCAACTTACAACAATTCATTTAGTGACCGTTCAAAGTTACAACGGCACTGAAAAAAGTGACTTAGGACCGTTTTTCACAGTTACGACCTTTGCTGCATCCCCATGGTCATGTGATCAAAATTCAGCTGCTTGGCAACTGGTTCATACTTATGACTGTTGCTGGGTCCCAAGGTTTTGTGATCACCTTTTCTGACAAGCAAAAGTTGATGGGGAAGCCAGATTCACTTAACAATCAGGTTAACCAACTTATCAACTGCAAGTGATTCACTTAATAACTGTGGCAAGAAAGGTCATAAAACTCACTTAAATATCTGAAATGTCTCAGTTAACAACATGTCTTAAATGTCTCAGTTAACAACACAAATTTTGGGCTCCATTGTGGTTTTAAGTCAAGAACTACCTATAGTTTTTCCAGTTTGTTATCGTAACCCAGGGGTCAGCAACCCGTGGCTCTGGAGCCGCATGTGGCTCTTTCATCTCTCTGCTGTGGCTCCCTGTTGCTGGTCAGCTCCACAAATGATAGGGCTTTCGGTTAGGACAGGTAGAGGAAAAAGGATGACGTGTTAGGAGGAGACTCTATGGTGGGGGAACTGGACTTCCGGCCAGCAGAGGAAAAAGGACGCTACACTAGGAGGAATCTCTATGGTGGGGGAACCGGACTTCCGGTTGGCTCCAGAATTGAACGGGGGCTTCCAGTTAGGATCTTTGTGGCTCTTTGAGTGTTTAAGTTTGCCGACCCGTGTCATTTGCTGAAAGGGAGGTTTTATTTATTTATTACTTCTTACACAACTTCACAAACACCATCAACAACATTAAGACAATAAGACATATAAATAAGCCACCCTGATATCCACCGGTATCCACTGATAGGCACTAGGATAAGGGCAATCAAGAACACTTCCTCACTGCTTCTGGTCTCAAACGAAAGAAAACACAGACCCGAGGCCAACTGTGCATGACAGGAGACTTTGGGGAAGGTAGAGAATTTAGGGCAAGCTCTAAAGAAGCAGCTACATAATGCATTAAAGGCCTTGTTGGTAGATCCCTGTCAAATAGCAACTACCAACGTTAAACCGATGGCTTGCTCAGCCTAGAATCCTTCCAGCAAAACAGCCCAAATAAGGAGAGAGAGAGAGAGAGAACATTTGTGTCCCATCCCCTTTCACATCCTGCAATTGCTAGAGCAATCTGTTTTCTTCTTGTTTCAAACTTCGGTATACAAAGACCACAGGTCCTTTTAAACTTTTTTTTGTTGTTGACACTGAACAAACAGCAGGGACTAAAGGAGTGCCTTGGTCCACAT